GGCTCAGACAGAGGCTGGATGAACATCTGGTGGGAGTTTGAACTGGACAACCTCTAATGTGCCTACCAATTGCAAAAGCCTGTGATTCTTTCATCAAGAAAAGCAGAGGCATGAATGCTGCTAGGTGTCACTTGGAGGTCCTGGGCATCCAAGTTGCCCAGTAAATCCAAAGAAAATTGTCCAACTTCGGCTACAAATTCCATTCCACTGCTTGGGAGGCTGCATCAAGGCCACCGGCAAAGCAGGAACCAGAACAAAACAGGCTTTCCTGGTCACACCAGAAAAGAACATCCAGCAGCTGAATATCTCCTGAGTTCTGTGTCCCACATAGCTGTAAATGGGTCACATGTTTTTGTGCAAGTTGGAATACTCAGCAGCATACTATAGATTCTAGAATACTAGATTTAAGCAACCCTAGAGGTCACTGACCCTGCCTCCCACCAAGAGTAATTAAAACGTTATGAGATAAGCAGGTTCACGTCCCACAAAGAGAGTCTAGTCTGCACCCTTGTTAGACACAGTTCGACCCTATATTGAACCAAATCTGTCATTTCACTCCCAGTACATGGGGCTGCACCTTTGGGTATGAATCTCATATTTCCCTTAAACTTATTTTTACAAAGCTAAATATACTGAGTTTCTTTTAGCTATTTATCATTTAACAAGCTAATTACTCTCCTCAAGACTTTCTCTAGTTTGTCAGTGACCTCCTAAAATGCATCATTTTTTCTTTCTTTTGGTAAGGAAAATTGGCCCTGAGCTAACATCTGTTGTCAGTCTTCCTCTTTTTGCTTGAGGATGATTGTCACTGAGCTAACATCTGTGCCAATCTTCCTCTATTTTGTATGTGGGACGTTGCCACAGCATGGCTTGATGCACGGTGTGTAGGTCCATGCCCAGGATCCAAACTCGTGAACTCTGGGCCGCTGAAGCAGAGCATGTGAACTTAACCACTACACCACCGGGCCAGCCCCTAAAATGCATCACTTAAAATTAGACCAAATATCTTACATGTGCTCTGACCAATGCAGGAAACTAATGGAACTATAATGACATGTTAAGGGCACTATAGTTCTACTGATGCAGCATATACGTTCTTTTGGCTCCTATTGACTTTATGGTCAAGTAAAACTCCACATAAAATTCCATCAAAACAGGCCCCATTACAAATGATTACTATTGAATTTTGGAACCCAATGGTTAGATTTCATCTTTCTGACCTTGTGCTGTTCTTTTAGCTTGTCAAAATCTTTTTGAACACTGGGAATATCAGTTGCCACACCAGCATTCCATGCCAGGTTTGTGTCATCTGCAAATCGAATAAACTTGCCTTCTGTGTCTTCATTCAAGCCATTGATAAAAACGTTAAAGATGACAGATCGCTCAATCATTCACTCAACAAATATTTATCAAGCACCTACAATATGTAAAGTGCTCAGGACAGAAACCAGAGAAGGAATTGTATTTGTACTGGGACAGATCCTAAAAATGTTTGCTTTCTGTCAATCCCTAATATGAGGTGGACTTCTTTCCTTTAAGACTTAATTCAACTCATTAGATACTTATTGATCAGTTACTTATCTCTTGGCATTATGCTAAGCTTTGTTAAGGGAACAAAGGAATTAAAAGCTACAACCCTGTTCTCTAGAAGCGTGTCCTCTCATTAGTGAGGCAGGCTTTGGCAAATGAGGCAGGCTTTGGCATACAAAACATTTTATGATGCAAGACAGGCAGCATTTATATAATTGACAAAATGAGTGGTACAGACAATATATTTGCTTCTAGTTGAGGCTTTAACATCATTTCATTTAAAGCTTCAAGAACGGTGATAGATTTTTAGAGTTGAAAGGGACAAGAGAGGTCTTCTAGAACCATCCTCCTCTCCCACCTCATCAATATTAGTTTCAAGAAGTCGGGGTCTACCTTTTGAGTAGTTTTACTCTTTGTTAGATCTAACAATTAGAATGACATCGTAACATTCGCTGTGTTGAGTCAAAATTGCTTCCCTTTAGTTTTCTAGCTATAGTCTAAACACTCAATGATTACGTTAAATAATCGAACGAATGAATTTTTATTCTGCTCTCTGAAATTAGAAAACAAAAATAAGTCTGATTCAACCATTTGAAGGCAACAATTACGTCTTCCTTCAGTGTTTACTTTTCTAGCCTAAATATCTACAATCCCATCATTGGACATGATTTTGAGACCTCCCCAACCCCCACCATTCTCTTTTTTTTTTTTGCTTCTTCTTCATCTTCTCCCCAAAGCTCTTCAGTACATAGTTGTATATTCTAGTTGTAGGCACTTCTGGTTGTGCTATGTGGGATGCCACCTCAGCATGGATCGGGACCAGTGAAACCCCAAAGTGGAGAGCGCGAACTTAACCACTTGGCAACAGGGCCAGCCCCCCCACTAGTCTTGTCATTTATATCATGACTCTGTGCCTGGCATAAAGCAAGCACTCAAGAGATGTCAACTGAATGAATACATGAATCAATGAACTGGAAAGCTCCAGTTTGTCAATATCAGCCTCAAAAAGAAATGCCCAGAACTACTGAACATATTGCTGAAAATGTGGCCAGAAAAGTGGACCTATTGTAATTGCCTTGCTCTGAACATTATACTTCTATTAATGCTGCTTATATCTAGCTTTTTCTTTTTGTTTTTGCACATTTGGGGGTTGGGGGTGGCAACACAGTGATGCCTCATATTAAGTTTGCAGCCAATTAAAATCTGTAATTGGATAACTTAGTGATCAAGCCCCACCCAACTGTGTAACAAGAAAGACTAGACCCCAGTGTTTATTCCCATGTGACAAGGAACGGTATGTCCTCCTGGGTGTGCATGTCTTTCTAAGATCAGGCTTGTATTCTGATCACCATAGCTCCTAAGCCCTTTGGGAATCTGAGGATTTTGCAATATTCTGCAGAGGAGGCCTAAGTGGGTGGGCACAGCATGGCACCTAAAGAGAAAGACAGGATGAGCTGACCTTATACTCAGTGGAGGCCTTATACCAAATGGGTCCAGATAGCGCAGAAGGAGATACTCAGTATGTCAGTGGCAGTGTTCCTGACAAGGAGACATTTCCCTCAAATTAAAACACCCAGGAAAACTTAAGACCAAGGAGTACAACAGGAGTTGGAATTGTCCTGGTGTCACCATACTTATGGCTGCAAGCAGTGCTAGGCAAGAAAAATTGAGTGGGAGGTAAAGGAAGGAAACACAACTGCTGTGAAGAGCCAACTCCAGCCAGCATTTGCTAAGCATCAGCACTTACTGAACACCAGGCTTCTTACACACACGATCGCTTTTATTCCCCCAAATAAAGTTATTAGGAAGGCATGATTATCACCATTTTACAGTTGTGGAGATTGATGTTCAGAAACTTGCCCAGAGTCACACAGATATGAGTGGTGTAGGATGGGGTACCCCACCTGATTGTCCCCAAGGCTCTTGTACTCAAGCATCATGCCACAATGCTTTTGTGTCATGTGTTTGTTCATTCTTTAACAAAGGCTTTATCAAGCACCCTCAACATCCCAGGCCTGTGCTAAGCCTTGGGAATACAGTGATAAAAAAGACACACACTGTCTCTCATGGGGCTTAGCACTCTGGCAAGAAGGACAAACAGCCAAACAAACAACCACAATAAAGTGGGATCCATGTCATGGCAGGAGAGGTTAAGGATAAACTCACCCAGCACATGGGAATAAAGTCTTCCTCGATGAAGTATTCCCTAGAGAGAAGCTTAAAGGATATGCTAGCAAGACAAAAGAGTCAGGGAGAGAGGCAGAGAAGGAATCAACTTTTAAGATGGGGAAGTGAGTGGGAGACACTGATAAGTGCTGGAGTCCAGCGAGGCTGAATGTAGAGTGGAAGGGATCAGAGGCTCCCAAGAGACTGAAGAGATGGGCAGAGTGAGACTGCAGGGGGCCTAGTAAGCTGTGTTAAGGGGTTTGGAATTGCACTGGAATTGGCATGGGCAAGAACTAGTAAGGTCACATGGATATCGCCTCATTGGATCTCACGGATTCTTGGAGGAAAAGGGAAGCCAGACTAAGACAAAGGCTGACAAGGACTGACACCCTGAAAAGGCATTCCATGCTCAACTTGGGCAGTTTTAATTGAATTTCTCTGGCCTCGTGGAACTTGCTCTACAAAACCTCTGAATTTCTCCTATCTCCCCTCTTCCCTCTCCACCCAAGGCAGGAAGGGTGAGGGTTGGGTGGGTGGAACAAATAGACTCTAGTTCCTTTCTTTATGTGACCCACCAAGGTTTAGATAGATTCTAGCTTTCCCATTAGACAGATGAGGAAACAAAGGCTTAGAGCAGGTCAGTAATAGTCACAGACTGAATTATTGGTTCCAATTCATCATTCCCTTTAATAGTATTATGCATCTACTCCCTAGCAAGGCCTTGTGGGGTATGCAGTGTATTTCCCCTCCCATGGACTTTGGGTTTGAGATTTTAATTTCCTTAGCCATTGAAACATTAGCAGACATGATGTGAGCAGAGGCTTGAAATGTGCTTGTCCGGTTGGACATGCCTTCCTGTACTTTTGCCATCGCCAGGAGAAGAGCATGACCTGTAGCTGCTGCTTCTCAAGCCTGGGCCCTGGAATGAATCACACAGAGCAGACTTGAACCTGGTCTACAGCCTAGAGCTCAGCTCAGCTGAGATCAGCAGATTCCAGGTGACTTGAAGACCTTCAGCCTGAAGCAGAGTGACTCCCATTGACCCAGAGACTTGAGAATGCGTGCCTAAGTGTTTATGGTTGTATGCCATGGAATTTGGGGGCAATTTGTTATACATCTTCATCATGGAAATACCTGACTGATAAGAGATTACTCCCAGCTTACAAAGAAACTTCCTGGAGTGCACAGAGCTGCCTTGTCATAGAACTAGGCTGCCCTGGTGGCTGGCCCTCTAGGGAGAAAGAAAAGCAGACTGGCAGCCCACTCCATTTCCCCACACCCCCTGCCCAGCACAGGGCACTCACCTGAGTCTGATGCTGCTGGGCTCACCAGGCTGAGCAGCTCCCGCTCCTTCTCATAATCCCCTTTGCAGAGCAGCTGCCCCTCCTTCAGGACAAACTCGTCCCCCTTCTGGAGCTGCCGCTCACAGACACAGCAGCAGAAGCAGCTGAGGTGGTACACACTCTTCTGGGCCCGCATAACAAACTCATTGGGTGCGATGGCCTCGAAGCAGCCCCCACATTTGACAGCAAACAGCCTGGCAGCAGGGGAGGGAGAAAGGAGAGCAAGGTCTGTGAGAAAGGTCTGGCTTGGGCCCAGGTCTCCCCTCAAGTCAACAGCAAAGGAAACTTCCAGAACTGGGATGAAGATGAGGATGTTTGGAATGGAATACACTTTAAACCCTGATGATTTATTCCCCAAGGAGGTTGAACCAAAGAATTTGGTTGAGTTACTCTCTCAAAAGCTTAAGAAAAGCAGAATGAGAAGTACTGGAAGAAGTCTGAGCTGATGCCCGGGGTGTATTTGGTGCGGTCTATGACACAGTGTCCCCAAAGGGTGGTCTACAGACTGGTGCCAGGCAGGCTGCCCAGAAGCCCTGGGGGAGCTTATTATTTAAAGAAAATAACAACCAAAATGTCCAGCCCACTCGTATCAGCATGTAACAGGGTGGGCTCCAGAATGTGAATTCTTAACAAGCTCCCCAGGGCATTCTGATGTGTAATCTGGTTTTTGAGAGATCAGACTGCATCCCAACTTCCCAGCCTGACATTCCATGGATTCAGCCTCTCTCTCAGGACTTAGCTCTTCTTTCATTTCACTTATTTTCAACAAACCACATCAAGGGTGTCTATGCCAAGCCAGAGCAGTAGGTACCAGTAATGTGAAGGTAAATAAAAGAAAAAATCCCTCCCAGCAATGAGCTCAGGCTAATGGAAGAGACAGACATGTCCAAATAATTAAAGTAGAAGGCTCCAGGAGCACGGAGAAGGAAACAGTTATCTGTCAGGGAGAGAGTAGGGGGACTTGCATTTTGTTCAGTGTTCAATAAATCTTGGTCAAATGAAAGACAGGAAGGCAGGCAGGTTGGCAGGCATAAAGGGGCGGGAGCAGGGGATCCCCAGCAGAGGCAACAGCCTGTGCAAAGGCCTGAAGTCATGAAAGTGCATGCACGGTGTGTTGTCCACCAGGTTGGAGACAGGGGGCCTCGAGAGGGGTGGCAGGTGAGGCAAGTCATGACCTGATTGCACACCTGGGCTGGACATCATCTGGTAACCCATAGGGCATCGCTGAACAATTTTTAACATGATAAGAGCCCTGATTTAGAAAAGGAACTGTTGGCAGTATGAAAGGTGGAGTGGAAATGGAGTTAGAGAGATGAGTGAGGGAGAGCAGCTGAGCAGTGACAAAAGTCAGCACTAAGGCAGCAGCAGGGAAACCAGAGAGGAAGGGGCAGAACCCACAACCTGGAAACAGGGAAGCATGGGGGTCGGCTCCCAGGCTTCTTGTGGTCGGAGCTCGTGGATGATGATAATGTCACCACTCTGCACACAAGCTTTCTGATTTCCCACCTCTGGGCCTATTTATGCCATTCCGCCCTCCTGCAAAGCCCTTCCTTCTCTGTTTAATCTATCTGAATCCAACCTGCCCTTCAGAACACAGCAGCTCCGGCCCTCTCCTTGAATTCTGCGCTGACATCCCCTACCCTAGTCTGAAGCAACTGGCCCGCCTTTGAACACCTTTACCGGGAGCTGTCTGTGCTGGTCATTCGGCAGTTATCTGGAGATGTTTCAAGACACAAAAGATGGTGACATCTGGAGGCCTGGGCTCTGCTGCCAGCTCTGCCGAGGTTGTTTCTCCCCTTTGTGCCTCCTTTTTTCTGGCTGTTGTTAAAGACATTAGGGTAGGCAATCTCTTCCAGCTGCCAAAGTCCTATGATCATTGCTTCTTATTAAGATATCTTAATCTTGGCTTATTATTTAACTTTTTCCATGTTTATAACTTGTATTTCAAGAACAAGGCCTATACAATATTTATATAGCCCACAGCCTCTTGCACACAGCGGGTACTCAATAAAAGTTGCTTTGATTTGACCCACGGATCTGACTTGCTCACCCTCTTCTGAAATAGCATCTGCAAAGAGCCTACCAGAGAAGCTGACACACAGGAGGTTCCCAACGAAGGTGGCTCTTCTCTTCCTTGTCACCTCAGATCAATAAGAGTTCAGAGTAGTCTATGAAAGACTAAAATTTAAAGTAGATCTGTTTCTTTTTTCTTTTTTAAATTACCTCATGATAATCTAATTGCCTTTGTCAAAGCCTTTGGTATAAGCACAGAGATAATATACCCCCAAAATATCTCTGGGATTCATTCATTATAGCATTCATTTTGCTATTTCCAAAATAAAGAGCTATTTTCTTTTTTAAAGTAATAGCACAATAAGGGGAAAAATTCTGTCTCAAAACCACTCTCTTTTTGTCCCCATGTACGAGAGGGGTCAAGACATGGAAAGGTCAGATGGTGCCAGGAGAGGATGGCGGTGAGCGGGAACAAAATGGGCAGAGTGAGTTCATACCTCCACAGCCCTCCTCTCTTCACAAGGGCAGACTCAAGCTGACTCAGAATATCCAGGGAGCTGATGCCATATTGCTCTGCTCATGAGCCCCACCTTGGCAGAAGCCAAGGAACCATGAAAAACTGAAAACCATTTTCCTATAGACAGGCCAACCACCACAATGGCCTCATAGTGGCCAGTTCCATCTCAAAAGCTCATTCACAAATTCATTTACTCACTTAGCTTTCTTTTCATTCATCCTTTCATTTGTTCAGAAGCATCCACTGTGCACTACCCCATATACTCTGGTGACTTAGGGGGACAAGGAAAAGAAACCAGCACCAGCAGCATTTGTAGATGTAAACAAGTCTATTTTGAGAGTCTCTTATATGTCAGGCACAGTTGTAGGCACAAAATGATACAAAACAAAGTCTCCAACCCCGTGGAGCTCACATGCTAGTGAGAGAAACAGCAAACAAACAAATCAATGAACAGATAAATGTCCACCTGTAGGGATTTACCTTGGGAAACAGAATACAAGGGCAATACAAAGCAACAGTTCATGAGTACAAAACAGAATGGCATAAAGTCTGTTTATAATATTAATCGCTTCCCAGCTCTAAGCTGCACTGGTTATAACTCTAAGTCTACATATGTGCATAGTGTGTTTATCCTGGAAGAAGGGAAGAATTTTGAGGGTGGAGTGAAGAGGAAGCTAAGGAGGGGTTCCCAAGGAGGCATTACACACAGACTGGTACAAGAAAAAGGCAGGCCATTCAAACTCTTCGAGCGAAGGAAGCCAAGGCTTGGAGAAGAGAATGAAGCTGCCTCCCATGAATCCACTAGGGAATGGCCTCCCAGGACAGAGGCCAGCCTGCAGGTCACTCAGCGCAGCACAGATCAGAAGTGCACGTGCTGCATCACTCTCAACCCAGGCCTTGGGCCACCGCACCCAGCCCCCTGCCCTTGGCCATGGGGAGAGCTTAGAAACACCCATCTGATATGCCTTCCCTCTGCCTCTCAACTTCAGAATGGAGGGGAGGTTGGGGGACAGTCCAAGGGGCTGGTGTGGCTCTTTCACCACTAACAAGGTATGCAACAGCCCAAAACAAAGAAATCCAGATACCAGCAGCCTTGCCCCCCAACCCCCTTCCTCCAGCTGCCCAGTGTGGTTTTGCTCTCCACGTATGAACCTCAGGGCACACCAGTCCCTTGAACATTTGCCTTGACTCCCTCCCCCCATGCTGGATGCTGTGCATCAGGCAAAAAATCCACCCAGTTCATCCCTGGCCCCAAGTCCCTAGCCACTGTTTGCCAACCTGAGCAAACTAATCAATGCTTTTCCAGGAGCCGGTCAAAGGCCCTTTGTCCCCAAGCCCTCCTTCTCCTCCCCTTCCCCTGGAATGAACTGTTCAACAGACTCAAGGCAAATGCTCCCAGGGAGTCAACAAGCACTTGAGAATCTGCAGCTGCAGGTGGTAGCATCTGTGCTTGTCTAACTTCTACCCTGTTAATCTCCTCCCTTCTTAATTTCATCCCCCACTCCAAAAATGTCCCCCAAGTTGGAGAAGGGAGGGTTAGGGCAAGCTCAACAAAGAAAACCCACCATGTTGACTCAGGAGTGGCTGGAGGAAGTGGCGTGAGTTGTCTGGGCTCAAATCCTGAAATGGTCATGGTCAATGGGGATTACAGACCCGGAAGAGGGGGGCAGTCCTGTTTCTCTCCATTCTTCCATCAGCTCTCCCCCTCTGGATAAAGACCAGGTCAACCTCACCTTACTACCTTGGCTCTTGTTACCCTCACGAACCCCAGAGCAATTCAAGGAGAAAAGGCACATGCAGTCTACCACCTGTGTGCCAGATGTGTACACAGCTGTACGGGTACCACTGTGGAGCCAGCTGCCGACTACACACCTCCCACAAGTTGTTTTCTCTAAGGCTCAGACAAGCAGAGAAAGGGATTTGTTCAAAAGTCCAGGTCGTAATTAAAACACAGCCTGTCTCTTCCCAATGCCCTGGATGGCGGCCCCCACCGTTACTTCCCCCTCTGAATGCTAATGAGACCTCACTCGGGTTCAGAGCCTGGCAGATTGGCTGTGGCCTGGAAAGCTAGGGACAGTTTCCAGAAATACCCAGCTCTTCTAGGCATACGTAATAACTCTCAACTCTTCCTACCATTACAAAAACTCCTACTCCCGAAAGCTCTTTGAATGATTCCTTATCTCCTTTTTGCATCTAATTCTCTCACCTGTAAAATGGGAATAAAGTTTCTAGCTGGTGAGAAACCATCCAGTGCAGCATCTGTCCCAGAGACTAAGCCCTCAGTCAGTGCTCTCCTTCCTCTATTGAATGCCCTTTGTGGGGAAGGCATGGGGACGAAAGATAAAGGCTGCCCTGTCCTCAGGAAACTCACATCCTCCAGCAGCCAGCAGGCTCTAAACAAACGACCACAGGAGGTGGCAGGGGGGTGGGGGGGGGGGGGGGGGTGCATAGTTTGTAGGAGGGAAACAGCCAGAATGGCGCAAAGCAGAGACTCATCCACTTGAGTTAGGCTAAGGGTCACCGAATCTTCTTCCTCTTCCTTCCCTCCCTCTCCCCCCACCCCATCTCTTCCTCCCTCTAGCCCTTCCCCACTCCTTCTGCCAGGCAGGGAAGTAGAGGCTAGCTGAAATTCCACTCGGTACCTTGTCTACCTCTCTTCCTCTA